AAGGTATTAACTTGGTAAGCAAAATATCAACTTGGTAAGCAGGGTATCAACTTGGTAAGCAAGGTATCAACTTGGTAAGCAAGGTATCAACTTGGTAAGCAAGGTATCAACTTAGTAAGCAAGGTGTCAACATGGTAAGCAAGGTGTCAACTTGGTAAGCAAGGTATCAACTTGGTAAGCAAGGTGTCAACTTGGTAAGCAAGGTATCAACTTGGTAAGCAAGGTGTCAACTTGGTAAGCAAGTTGTCAACTTGGTTAGCAAAGTATTAATTTGGTAAGCAAGGTGTCAACTTGGTAAGCAAGGTGTCAACTTGGTAAGCAAGGTGTCAACTTGGTAAGCAAGGTGTCAACTTGGTAAGCAAAATAAGAACTTGGTAAGCAAGGTGTCAACTTGGTAAGCAAGGTGTCAACTTGGTAAGCAAGGTATCAGCTTGGTAAGCAAGGTGTCAACTTGGTAAGCAAGTTGTCAACTTGGTTAGCAAAGTATTAACTTGGTAAGCAAGGTGTCAACTTGGTAAGCATGGTATCAACTTGGTAATCAAGGTATTAACTTGATAAGGAAGGTATCAACTTGGTAATCAAGGTATTAACTTGATAACCAAGGTATCAACTTGGTAATCAAGGTATTAACTTGATAAGCAAGGTATCAACTTGGTAATCAAGGTATTAACTTGATAAGCAAGGTATCAACTTGGTAATCAAGGTATTAACTTGGTAAGCAAGGTATCAACTTGGTAATCAAGGTATTAACTTGATAAGCAAGGTATCAACTTGGTAATCAAGGTATTAACTTGATAAGCAAGATATCAACTTGGTAATCAAGGCGCTGCTGCTCAAACTGATGCAAGATCAAGCAAATGATTTTTTACACATCAGTTTTATAGGCTAAGAACTGTTATTTTTCCTCAGCTTATTTCAAAACCCAGCCCTTTCAGAGGTGTACTACCCCCCCCCCTCCCCCCAGGATGCCACCCATATCTGTCGGCTAACACCCAGGTACCTACTTGCTGCTAGGTGAACAGGGACAGCACGTGTGAGGAAACATGCCCTTTGCTTTCACCCGTACCAGATATCGAATCCCGGACACTCCAAGTGGGTGCTCGGGGTTCAGTTGGTAGCGGCCTTAACACACACTGAAGGCCCGGGGTTCGACCCGCGGACGAATGGAATTGTTTGTCATATATCCTTACACCTGCTGCTTCTCCCTTCCCTGTTTACCTAGCAATAAGTAGGTACCTGGATGTTAGCTGTCAGATGTGGGGTCGCATCCTGGGGGAGAGGATTAAAGAACCTCTGTGGAAATAACCCAGACAGTCTGATGACATGGCTCTGTTAGGTTCTTCCAGGATTACTAACTCTCCGGGTTAATAATCCAGATAAACTCTTTATTTTCTTCTTCATGGAGAGGTTGCAAGTTGTCGCCAGCAGTCATAACTAGTAAAACGCACACACACACAAAAAAAAAAAACCCCACACACACACAAAACACACACACAAACACACACAGTCTGTAGAGTGAAGTAGTGGAGGCAGGATCCATACGTAGCTTTAGGCTGATGTACGATATGGCTCTTGGCACAGAGAGAGAATGGACCTAGTAGCAACTAGCGAAGAGGCGGAGCCAGGACCTATGAATCGACCCCTGCAGCCACATATGAGTGAGTACGTCAGATGTGTGTCTACAAGTGCCTCTGATAACCACTTACTGACCTGTGCACTATCATGACGTCATTCATCATATAATTCAGATTATCCAGGCCAAATTTTTACATATTAATTTATATAATTTGCTTTGCAGTTTATTCCAGCCAACTGCTTAGTTTACCAATTAGGAATTAACAGTGTTAGTGTCCACCTCTAGGCACGCAACCTAGGGGATTACACATTATTATTATTATTATTATTATTATTATTATTATTATTATTATTATTATTATTATTATTATATGCTATCTTCTTCTTCTTCTTCTTCTTCTTCTTCTTCTTCTTCTTCTTCTTCTTCTTCTTCTTCTTCTTCTTCTTCTTCTTCTTCTTCTTCTTCTTCTTCTTCTTCTTCTTCTTCTTCTTCTTCTTCTTCTTCTTATTATTATTATTGCCAAGAAAAAGTGTTTGGAGAAAGGGGTGGCGATCAGGTTTGATCTAAGTCAGGGAACTGTTGCCCAAATTTCTCGAGATCAGGAGCAGTTTACCAGCATCAAGGCATCCATCACATCCCCCCCCATAAAGGGGTCATTACACAGTTACCGCTTGACAAAAGGAGGGGGAGGAGGAGGTAACTCAAGTGCCTTGGATCAAGAGTCCTTTAGCCGACATTAACAAATCCAGTGATTGTTATATTTGGAAGCAGCGAGATGCTGTGTCATGGAAGTCCGACACACTCTGCTAATTACTTGGTAATTGCTCCAGTTGGGTGTGGTCATGTTGACCTTGTGACCTTTGCTGAGGTCACCTGGGAGCGCTACCCTTTATCCCCCCCCCGGCCACTTCGCCTCTATTATTATAGTCGCAGCAAATCGCTAAATCCGTATGGAAGGGTCATGCGGTGCAATTTCCATTCATTTTAAAGACTCTCCTGTTTCTGCTTTGTGTTGGAGGAGACATGGGTAGAGGCAGATTATTATTATTATTATTATTATTATTATTATTATTATTATTATTATTATTATTATTATTATTATTATTATTATCATCATCATCATCATCAATCAGTTAATAATGTTATTGTTTTTGTTATTATTATTATTATTATCGAAAACCAGCGCCAAACCCTTATGGGTCACACAGCAAGGGCATTATGTCCGGATCTATTGTTTTTTCTTAAAGCCCTTGCGCAGTTCTTCCCCAGTTTTTATCATACAGAAAAAACTCTGTATTCGGAATTAATTGCTTTCTGCGTGTGTACTGAATATTGAATTTTCTGAATACTGGATCAATTTTTTTTATAGGAAATAATGTAATTTGAATTAATTCGTTCCAGACCCCGAAACTTACTCTTGACAAATCATTTTTAAGCCAGAACATTGGTTAATTAAACTTGTAAAATAACGTGTACAAGAAATTATACATAAACCTGCAAGAATTTTAACTCCTGTTGCCACATACGTACTTTATAATGCGCCTTTATTTTTGATAATAGAAAATACGGTAGATGTTGACATGCCGTATTTCTTGGCAAAGTGAACAAGACGTATTCCATTTTTGTGTTGCAATAAGCTTCTTATTTTTAGTTCACTGGTGGTTCTTACAGTTTTCCTTTGTTTTTTTCCTTCACTATTCTTATTCGGGGCCATAGTTACTTATTTTCAACAATAAAATAAAAATAACACAAAGTTATATAAAAAAAATAACTGAATCACAGGAGCTCAAAAAGCATCCGTCGTTCCAAATGTAATATACTCTTTTCGATTTTTTCCGGATACTGCATTTTTACGAGTAAGGTTCATCCGAATACAGAGGTTCTGCTGTGTGTATATGTCGTGCCGAATATGTAAAACTGGTCAGTTAGCAAGAACTCATTTAAAATTAAGTCATTTCTAAAATTTTCTCTTATACTTTTAAAGATATATTTTTTTCATTAATCTTAATGTAAAAAAATTTTAATTTTGCTGCAAAAGAATCTTAAAAAATTTACCTAACCTTATTATAACAAGAACAATTTATTTTTAGCCTAACCCAACTAAATATATTTTAGATTTGTTTACAATAATTTAATACTAAACAAACACAGTGAAATATTTTTTTTTGTTAGGTTCAGAATGATTTTGGCGAAATTATTGCATACACAAATTTTCGCTTGTTCTATATGGCAAGATGAGCGTTGCTATTTAAGCCAAGATGGCAAGTTCTGCCTATTCGGCACGACATATATATAATATATATATATATATATATATATATATATATATATATATAATATATATATATATATATATATATATATATATATAGTGTGTGTGTGTGTGTTGTGTGTGTGTGTGTGTGGTGTGTGTGTGTGTGTGTGTGTGTGTGTGTGATATTTTTCATGGAAAAAGCTAAACCCTTTCGGGTCATACAGCTCCAGATTTTTGAGAGTCAAGTTTGATGCGAATGGAGAAAGTGAAGATATGTCAGGAGCCAGAGGTGTGGCGTACATGCTGCTAGTATTGGTGATCAGGACTATACATGAACCAGACTAGCAGGAGCAGCAGACGTTCACACACACACACACGGACACGGGCACAAGGAGCGAGCTAGGAGACAACCATGGAGCAGGACTCACTCTGGAACAGCGACCCGCCTCTTCCTTGGAGGCCCCGGAAGAGGAAGGAGTTAAGCAGGAGGCGCGCGTGTCGGGGGAGGAGGAAGAGTGAGGGCTCAGGTCACAGTTATCATGGACGACAAATTGCATTTTGCTGTCGTGTTTAAAAAAAAAAACAACTTCAGTTGAGAAATCAATGACAACTTTTTTAATGTCAACAGGTTAAGAGGCACCTAAGTTCCCCCGTCTTCTACTAACACGCTCATTTTTCCATTATAATCTACCTTGTCCATAATTACTATCGCATTTGCTTTGTCTGTTTTGTAAGGTGAAGTCCAGGATCTTTCCTTAATTAATGGTATAACTTAACAAATCTTTGGTGAAAATTGTTGTAGAGGTCTGAGCTCTCAGACGTCTACAATACAATGATGACAATTGTTGTAGAGGTCTGAGCTGTCAGACGTCTACAATACAATGATGACAATTGTTGTAGAGGTCTGAGCTGTCAGACGTCTACAACACAATTGTTCTCAAAGTTTTGTTAAGTTATACCATGAATTAAAAAAGGATCCTGGACTTCACCTTACGAAACAAAGCAAATGCGATAATAATTATGGACAAGGTAGATTATAGTGGAAAAACGAACATGTTATTAGAAGACGGAGGAACTTATGTGCCTCTTAACGTAGGGACAGTGTCGTCGCTATAATGAAATACAATGATAATAGAGATAGAATGAGTCATGGCTACACTGAGAACTAACCGATTTTGACGTTCTCTTGTAGCAGCAGGAGCTCCACGATCTCTACATTCTCGTTGTCGACGGCGATCTGGATGGCGGAGCGTCCGAGGATGTCGGTGCAGTTGACGTTGACGGCGGAAGGAGGGGAGAGGCAGCGCATCATAGTGTGCTTATCCCCCCGTTCCGCCGCCTCCAGGAACACCCGCTCCTTCGGGTCCATCATGTGACCATCCTGTGGGAGAAGAGACGGTTTGGTGCGAAAAGATAGTCAGGTTTTATGGTCTGATCTGGAAGAGAATAAGGTCAGTGTGAGAGATGCACAGGTTGCTAGTTCATCCTGATGCACAGGTTGCTAGTTCATCCTGATGCATAGGTTACTAGTTCATCCTGATGCACAGGTTGCTAGTTCATCCTGATGCACAGGTTGCTAGTTCATCCTGATGCACAGGTTACTAGTTCATCCTGATGCACAGGTTGCTAGTTCATTCTGATACACAGGTTGCTAGTTCATTCTGATACACAGGTTGCTAGTTCATTCTGATGCACAGGTTACTAGTTCATCCTGATGCACAGGTTGCTAGTTCATCCTGATGCACAGGTTGCTAGTTCATCCTGATGCACAGGTTGCTAGTTCATCCTGATGCACAGGTTACTAGTTTATCCTGATGCACAGGTTACTAGTTTATCCTGATGCACAGGTTACTAGTTCATCTTGATGCACAGGTTAATAGTTCATCCTGATGCACAGGTTACTAGTTTATCCTGATGCACAGGTTACTAGTTCATCCTGATGCACAGGTTACTAGTTTATCCTGATGCACAGGTTACTAGTTCATCTTGATGCACAGGTTACTAGTTTATCCTGATGCACAGGTTACTAGTTTATCCTGATGCACAGGTTACTAGTTTATCCTGATGCACAGGTTACTAGTTCATCCTGATGCACAGGTTACTAGTTTATCCTGATGCACAGGTTACTAGTTCATCTTGATGCACAGGTTACTAGTTTATCCTGATGCACAGGTTACTAGTTCATCCTGATGCACAGGTTACTAGTTCATCCTGATGCACAGGTTAACTAGTTCATCCTGATGCACAAGTTACTAGTTCATCCTGATGCATAAGTTACTAGTTCATCCTGATGCATAAGTTACTAGTTCATCCTGATGCATAAGTTACTAGTTCATCCTGATGCACAGGTTACTAGTTTATCCTGATGCACAGGTTACTAGTTTATCCTGATGCATAGGTTACTAGTTCATCCTGATGCACAGGTTACTAGTTCATCCTGATGCATAAGTTACTAGTTCATCCTGAGGGAGAAAGAGGTTCATTGTGAACAGCTGCACCGAAGTTCCCGTAATTGAAACTAATATATTAAGTCAACTCTGAATTTCCTCTTTGGCACAAGAGTATAATCTACATTTTTACCTTCCGTCAGGTCCCCTCCGCCTGATGAATATTTACGACTTACATGAGGAAGAAATCACAAAAAAAACACGTGATTGCAAGTGTGAAAAAATACCACAGTGAAAACCGGAAATAAAACCTGAGCGCTTACACATACTATTCCTCTGAAGATGTGTGTGTAAGCACATGAAAGCGCTCCGGTTTTCTTTCATATTTTCACTGTATATTTTTTTCATGACTTGCATGAGAACGATGCATTTTTTTTTGCAAATTTAGTATTGGTGATGGACTGTTTGTATGACCTGCCCTTCCTGAAGGGTGGCATTCACATGATAGAAAAAGTTGTTCAGTTCTGGTGAGTGTTCGGGAGAACTTAAGTGTGGAGGAATATTTTTCGAGCTGTTTTGGCAGTACACTGGAGAAAGGTTGAAAGATGGGTCAACAGATTCTCCTCGGTAATCTGACGAAATTTGAGAAAATATTGATTATTTTATGTATAGTTGAAGATGCAGACTAAGTGTTCTTATCCAGCCTCGACTCTCATTTCTAAGACCAGTCTTGTTTAAGCAGCAAACCCTCGAAAATGACCCACAGTAGTCGACTAATATTAAGGTACTTCTTTAATGCTAGGTGAAAAAGGAGACAACAGGTGTAAAGAGACTTGCCCACACACCTCGTCCCTCCAGGAAGTGACTAAACAGTCGACTAACATCTAGTACCTATTTAACACTAAATGAAAAGGAGAAAGGAGATGAGTCGCTCAGTTGATGATGTGACCCACAACAGGTGACTAACATCTAAGTACTTATATAAGTATATAAGGGTTCTTTCCAGCACACCTCTCCTGCCCAGAAATCGAACCCAGGTCAACTGTGTTGTGAATCGAGCGCTCTACAGGTAAGCTACAGATGGATAAGCAAAAAGGAAAAATAATAACAGTTCCTTCGACTGACAGGAGTGAGTCCACGAGATGAAGAAGAGAGGGATGCTAGCGTGATTACCAGCGGGAGTCTGAGACCAAGAAAGTGAGTTATCAGGACCAGAGACGAAGCTCAGGGGAACCCACGATCGACCTGACGCCACCGATCCACTGCTAATTACGGGAAACCAGAAGACACAATAGAATAATGAGCTCTCATTCTCTCTCTCTCTCTCTCTCTCTCTCTCTCTCTCTCTCTCTCTCTCTCTCTCTCTCTCTCTCTCTCTCTCTCTCTCTCTCACACACACACACACACTGACAGCATCTTAATGACGTCTCTGAGGGGAAAAACTATACATTCTTCTGTATTCCACCCTCCTCCCCGATTATCACTCTCCCTTTTCCCCAACCGTTTCCCCTCACTTTTCCCCTCCCCCTCTCTTTCCCCTACCCTCGCCCCCTTTCCCTTTACTCTCCCTGACTATATTTCATTCTCTCCTGCTTTCTCTGTCTCAGTTGCTTAACTGGATGACCTGTAAGGGTTCTGCTCTTTTTTTAATATAATAATAATAATAATAATAATAATAATGTTTGTCAGTACATTTGTTCGTTGATTAGTTTCTCTGGCTATACATCTAATATTATCCACAATTATAAGAAGTTTCTCTAGTCATAGGAGTTATCTACAGTCATAAGGATTATCTCTTGTTATAAGTATTATCTATAATCATAAGCATTTTCTATAATGGAGGATTTTCTAGAATTATATGTTATCGTGAAGATTGTTCAGTATATAATTATAATAAGTATTTTGTATAATTGTAAGGTTTATAATCACATTATCTATAATAAGCATTAATAGTCATTATAATCATGAAAGACTACGTATGCAAACATTTCTTGACCCCTACCCAAAATACGTAGTTCCTGACCCCTTACACTAAATACATATTACCTGACCCCACGTACACCCTACATTTCCTACCCCCACCCCACATTTCCTAACCCCACCTACACCCCACATTTCCTCACCCCTCACATTTCCTGGCCCTCCTCCCACACGTGATGCAGTACGTCAGAAGGGACGGTCCAGTATGTTCCATCAGGGAGGCGAGTCTGCACTCTGGATCTACACATTGTAAATTCCAGGGAAGTATCGATGTCAACTCTGCCATACCTGGCAACTACCAGGCGAGACTCTTTAAACGACAACAAACACAATTTCCTCTTATTATTTTTTTTCTTCATGACTCTGCTTCCTTGCTTTTCAGTTTCATTCTCCACGTTTTTTTTTCTTCCTCTCTTCTTTCCCCTTTACTCTCCTCCTTTCTTTCTTCATTCCTCTCTTTCTCTGATCCATAGCTGAATATATTAGAATTCTTTTAAAGTAGGTGAACGCCTTGGCTGAATCTGGCACCATTTTCAACAGGTGTCTGTGTTCTCGTTTCTTGAGTAATTGATTGACTAAAGTGACATGTGTTTAATTGATTAAGGTGACCCCTGATTAAGTGGCTAAGGTGACCCCTGATTAAGTGACTAAGGTGACCTGTGTTTGGGTAATTGACTAAAGTGATCCTAACCCTTGCAGTGAAACAGAGAACAAATATTAGGTTATTATAAATCTGTGTGACGTAGTCTAGTGTGACGTGCTCTCTTGCCTCGTCAGAACACTCCTATTACAACTGAAGCGAGTCAGTGTGACTTGCTCTCATATGTCGTCAAAACGCTCGTGTTACAACTGAAGCGAGTCAGTGTGACTTGCTCTCATATGTCGTCAAAACACTCGTGTTACAACTGAAACGAGTCAGTGTGACGTGCTTTCAGACCTTCCAAATGCGAGCATAAAAAATGCAAGAGTTTGAGAGTGTGTTGATCCCGCAGCAACGTGAGGGCGAGTTAGTGGCCACCTCATCCTTGCTTCACGTCTACTCTAGTCAGTGCTGTGGGTTTGCCTTTAAGATAAGATTTTGTTCGCATTTTTAACCCGGGTGAGGGCTAGCCACTCAGGATAACCCAAGAAAATCAGAGCGTCATCGTGGACTATCTGTCCTATTTCCATTGTGGTCTTTCGGTCTTGTCCCCCAGGATGCGACCCACAACAGTCGACTAACACCCAGGTACCTACTTACTGCTAGATAAACAGGGACAGCAGGAGTACAGAAACATGTCCGATGTTTTTACCCGGCTGAAGACTGAACTAAGGACACTCAAGTGTGTTAGGCAAGGGTTTTATCGTCCCTCTTCTTAAAGCTACGTATAGATCCTTCCTCCACTACATCACTCTCCAGTGTGTGTGTGTATGCGCGCTCGTACGTGTGTATTCACTCTCTGAAAGTGTCTTCGGCCGTGTAAAAAAAAAATTCTATTTTAAATTCCTGCATCACGCAAGAGACACGCACTCTAATTTTTTTTTTCATTTTTATGGCATTCAGTGTCAGGACATATTTTTATATTTTTTGTTACACAAACTTACATTTAGAGACTATTTTATTTAGCTTAAAAATGGAAGTCAGACAAAGAAGTGTTAATTGTTACGTGTTGTGTTTGTCAACTTAAGAATCCGTCACTTTAACTTGAGATGTCGGAATCCTTGAGACGTGTGGGAGGAGGGTGAAGGTAGGATGATGAGAGAGAGAGAGAGAGAGAGAGAGAGAGAGAGAGAGAGATGTGCGTGGGAAGTACAGATGACAGAGAGGACTTCGAAGTCCACGCCGAAAATATGTGTTGAGAACTATCTGCTTCTATCTAGGTGTGTGAGTGAAGGATAAAAAAATGAGAGAGAGAGAGAGAGAGAGAGGCGGAGACAATGGTAATAATATTCCACTTGAAAGTCACACACACACACACAAACACACACCAGTTTGGAATCCATACCTGTCAAGCACGTCAAGAATTAGAGAAAG